CCCCAGCCGTTTCGGAAATTACCCGGAACAAACGCGGCTTGCGGACAGAGACAAAAAATATTTAAATGCGATACATAATACATCTTCGCGAAATCTGGAACTATTCTTTCGAAGTTACATACAGACACTTCAATTTTATAATATGTATAAATTTGACATATTAGAATGTACTAACTAGATCGTGTTTTTCAGCCATTGCTAGGTACGACGTGCTTGGTGTCCGGTGTGTCTCTCGCGGCGTTAGCAGGGTGGTTCGCGATACGCGCGGGAGGAGCGGCGCTGCCCGTGGCCGCACTGTGCCTCTGCATCTACTGTGACGCCGCCGGCCTGCAACCTGTACCCTTCGTTATTATGACTGAGATGTTCTCATTCCAGGTATTCACTTACTAGCTAAAAGAAGTATCAGTTCTTTTAATAATCTGTTGTAACGCTAACGGCCGAATACTGAAACGTCATTTAAACATGTAACGTCTTCCTCCAAATTGCTCCGATATGTTGAACCCTATCTAAATTCCTTACTATCCTCTAGTGAATAAAGTATGTGCTATCGTTGGGGGGTGATTCAATGTGAAGCAATTTTGTTTTAGCAAAGAGATTAAAAAAATAAATAGAGGAGGCAAAGTCGACACTTCTCTTGAGAGATTTTCATATGATCATCACTAATTCTTTGTGTTGATAGCCTTTTAACCACATGCCAATTTAATTAATTAAATTAGAATTTAAGTTTTTAAATCATGAATGTTTTACTAAATGTTAATTTGGGCTAGGTTTCGTACTAAACTTAACAACTGATATAGTACCAATCAAAGAAATTATCAGTGAAAAAATTTTACCATGCCTTGTCTATGAACTTTTTAAATGTCTTTAGTTTTAATTAACCGTGTGAAAGGCGACTATACTTTACAAAGTGAATATTATTTCCAGTTCCGTGGCACAGTGACTTCAATAGTCATCGCCTTCGCATGCGCTCTGGTTTCCATCGAGCTGAGGGTCTTCCAACCTCTAGCAGCCTCCATCGGTCTGCACTTCGTCTTCGGCTGCTTCGCCATGGTCTGCCTCGTCAGTACCGTGTACATCCTCTTCTGTGTTCCTGAGACAAAGATGAGGACGACAGAAGAAATATACGCGGAATTCATGGGAAAAGGGAAAGAGAAGAATAGAGATTGTGAAGCCTCTGTTACTAGATTGTAGACTTTTTAGCGCTTAAACTTGTGTTCTTTTAAGCTTAAAATGCATTAGAGTGAATGTAGAAAGGTTGAATGGTGATACAATTGTACAAATGAAATTCCAATAATTTACTTTTGATTGAGTTTATATAACAGTTTTACAGAAGAAATGCGCGTGCGGAATATCGTTTTATCTGTTTTATCATGAACAATCAGAGGCATGGGATGTTTGCGTAGATGTATGGTTTTAAGACATAAAAATGAGATAGTTTTAACCAAAAAATAAATACCGATTGAATTCTTTGGATCACGATATTTCTTGCTTTACCGTCAAATTTCGCCTTACACGAGTGTAAATGAGTGAGAATGTATGAAGAATTGTATGACAAATGTATGATTTTATTGTATTGCCAACATGCTTTGCATTACACGAAAGTTGACATTAGCATAGGAATGGATTATTGTACTTACCTGTAGAGTACAAGATTTTAATCTATTGGTTTTCTGTATGTTGCGATAGAAATTGCTTTAACAACATAAATAATAGAATTAGAAAGTTTTTACTCTGTCAAATTAGAGCTGTAGTCAGTAGACGTTATTTCAGTATAATTAAGTGCTTATTTCCACTAGTTGGTTAGTAGCACCACTTTGCGCTCATTTTGTACAACAGTCGCGGACGCGCTAGTGGAAATTATTGTAATAGCAGTAGCACGATTAGCCGCTTAGTGGAAATAGGTAGTAAAAGTAAATAATAGGTATTTATACTCTATTCAAATGTAACTCCAGTTAGCATGTATCACAAGAAAAATAGGTTTTACAGAGATTTGTTAAAATTTTGATAAAAACTATACTTTTCATGTAAAAAAATTCAGTATCCGATACTGCTAAGACTGTAATTTAAAATGCACTTTATTTTCTGCAAATAGATTGTTTTATGACAAATATTTTATAGATTTTTTAAGATTATATTTATTTTGTTAAATAATACATAGAATGTACCAAAAACCACAAGATGTGTGAATAAATATTTTTCATGCCATGTTCATAATTTTTTCTTAGACAAAATTCCTTAAAATATAATTTTATTGCAGAATTAAATCAAAAAACTAAGATATAGTAGTAATCGGATATCTTGGCAGCTGTAAACTTCGCGGGAGTCGCTGATCACAACTTTAGGTATAACAGGATGCAGAGAGTGACCTTAAGCGGCCAAGACATTTGAAAAGAACTATAGTGTTACATTTAAAAACATCGGTGATACAGGGGTTTAAGCACTTGGTCCTGGGTGCCAATCCGGCATGTACCAATGTGATTCTTAATTTCATAAGTACATTATTTTACCCGATGCATACGGTGAAGGAAAACATCGTAATGCCTGCACATATCGGCAGAGATATTCAAAGATATGTGTGAAGTCAACCCGCAGTAAAGAACGATTGACTATAGCCTAGTGACCCCTTAGGGAAGGCTCCGAGTCTCTCAGTGGGGACGTACAGTTAGCTGTGTACTTTAAGGATCTTTCAGTTGTAACTGACAGTTACTTGTCCAAGCAGGGTATTAATAAAACACCTACATCACAAGCAATGGAATGTTTACAGTTGCAATGACACAGTCCTTACAAATAGATGGTACACTCGTGCGGAGAGGCGGCTTAGCTTGCACCGTACTTACATGCTATCTTACTTTTCCATTTCTAACACATGCTGTCTTTGTTTTTCAAAAAGAAAGAAAGAGACGGCGATGTTACTGCAGTCTAAACTGTATAATCCGTACGAATTAACTAAAACCTGTGTTCATGACGTCATTTCAATGTACTGTGTGCAAAATAAAATAGTCTTGGAAGGAATGTAAAATATACTAATATTGTAGAGGAAAGATTTGTATTTATGTATGTATTGTATTATAATAACTCACAAAATTTGGACCGATTAAAAAAATCACCATTAAAACACTTAGTTAGGCTATATTTGTTACATTTTTTATTCCACGCGGACGTAGACATGAGCAAAAGCTAGTTAGTGATATAAATATAGTGTAGCCCATAGGCGTCCCCAGCTGACGATCTACGGAAGAGAGGGAGGGGGGAGGGAGCAGTTATTAATATGGTCTTATACTTTGTATACAAAGTAGGTTTTTAAATCTGTCCTCTAGGGGTCAAGTTAATTCGTACGGACGATAAATAAATGAACTACAAAACGCGACACGACTTAAAACTCGCGATTGGATCGTAATCTTTCATTGATAATATTTTACCGTAGACTTCCACTGACACAATAATATTCAAAGACTTGAATATCTCAGTTTTAACAAAGAGAATACAAGATCACATTTAATATGAATTGACAGTGAAAATCTACGACTTGTCAAAATTTTTTCGTCGCGTTATCGTTCATCTGAGTTTACAAGACCTTTTACGATGGACAACCTTCCTAGGATCCATACATTTCGTTGCTATTCACAACCTCACACAATACTATCCAATAGACAATAGTTAAATAAAGTACAGATCAACAAAAATCCTACTGTTACAAGTATTATTGTGGTACTCAGAATTGTTAAAAAACAAGGAACTCTCTTAGTAGAGTTTTATCATAAATTCACATCAAAGATACAATAAGTAATCAATCAATCATTAATCGTCTCTGAGTATGACAATTTTCTCTATCTCAGATTCGTACAAATGTTTTGCCATCACTTAGTACCTTGACAACAAGAGCATATAATTTAATACAATATAAGAAAACGTATTATGAGAAAAACTTAGCTTACTTGACAGTTAAAACTTAGTAATAACTGATTTTTATTAAATAAATCTATCAGAGCTAAGTAATATTGTCAAATTCAATTGAAATGAGAAATTACAACATATGTAAACAATTATATATTTACTAGCTATCAACCGCGACTCTATCCGCGTGAAAAAAAAAAAACGAAAGTGAGTAACCTACTGCTTCTATACCAAATTTCATCAAAATCCGTTCAGCCGTTTAGGCTACAAACTCTAACAAACATCCATCAATCTAAACTTTGGCATTTATAATATTAGTATGAAGTATATAAGACTACCACAGACTTAATAAAAACAGACATATTTGTATCAATTAAAACACTGAAATTATTCCAAAATAATTCCATACACAACAAATGACTGTCACCTAATGCGTATATATTTTCAAATTTCAATTGAATTTCACTATCCTTCATGTTTCCATCTACAATAAACAATAACCATAGTTTGTCTCGTTCAATGATATGCCAAGCTCCTTACAAATATCCATCCTTTAAACCTAAGCCGCCCCTCTATAAACATCTAGCGTTTTTGTACACAAATACAAAACACCTCACAAAAGACGCTATAAGATACATTTATATAAAAACCCTAAATATACAAAATTACAATCAAAAGTAGTTTAAATGGAATTGATAAAGAAAATTAAACCTTAACTAGTACAATTAAAGTCGATTTTAGTAAAAACATTTTAGGACCGCATTTAAAAGCAAGAAGTGATAATCCGACTAAATTAAAGAGTAAGTCGTACCTTACGATTTAAACAATACGATTGACAACTAAAATTGATCGGGTTATATTTGATAGAAATCTCACACAGACATTTTGTGAGTTTTTTTTTATTTTTTTCATTGTTAATTTGTATATTTAGGTTTTTTTATCCATAAATACAATATATAGTGTACCTAAACGTATACAACACTGATAAAAAATTGTAGTTTCATATAAAAACGACAAGATTAGAAATGGAATTTTGTGCATCACATAAGATTATAGTATATAAGTTTTATATATCTTATGAACATTATATACTATATCTACTACTAGGAAATCTAATGGTATAAAAGATTTACATAAATTGCTAAATATATATTTCTTGTATGAAAAATCGGCTGTAGTGTTATATATGGTTTTAAACATTTTTTTACTACTTATGAAAGATAACGGTATTGAGAAAATAACAGTCGTTGTATAAAATTAAACCTAAGGTGAAAAAAAATTAAGTACAATGTGACTTAAGTACTTAAAATGACTAAAGACTTTGGATTTGAAAAAAAATCGCTTAAAATAATAACTCCTCTGAATCCACAATAAAAAAAAAAATAGTCATTCTACTAAAAAAAGGTTTTTGCAAGATTGTATACAAAAAATGACAGGTTTCGTAAAGCAATGTTCAATCACAAATATTGGGCAAGAATTCTTAAACCAATAGATTTTTATCAATATTGCACTTAAAATTTTAAAGATAATTGATATGCAATCGCTTACCTAGCCTAAAGAAAAACGTAACAAATCTAACCTAAAAAAAAAACAAGTTGCATTACGAATATTTCAAAAGTAAAAAAACTACCATTCCAAAACAATTATACAAAAAAAAATCATAATTAAAAAGGTAATGTCAAATGTGATGACGTATTTTTTAAAGACAAAAAAAAAAACAAATAATATAAACCTAACCTAAAATTATTTATGAAAAAGGTGTGTATCAATGTTGAAGATTGCATTGAAATAAATTTTATAAAAAAAGGTCAGCGGTTCTCAAAGGTTTTACTCATGTGCTAATAATTAGAATTATCGTCGACTGCTAAATTATTTAACGTATTTAATATAAATATTTTAGAATACATTTTAATCTAAAACCACATTAAAAAAAGACATTAAAAGCTGCCATCAAATTAATTACAAACATTAATCTAAGAAAAACATTTTGGTTTGAATTTTGGTAATTACGTTGAAAGCGGTGATAATTCAGTCTTCAATTATCTTAGTTCAGAAAAGACAAAGTCAAACAAATTGTATATTGCCTTTAAAAAACTTTTAAAATATCATGATGGCTCATTTTGCACGGAAATTGCAAGCAAGCCATCAAGATACTTGAAAAAAACTATACCAATGTTTAAAAAAAATTACAGTATTTTTTTTAGTCTTTAAAATGCGTTAATAAAATTCCTTACACTAAATTAAAATACTTATTATGCAAAATCTGTGGATTAAAATGATATGGGAAGTATAAATTGACGATTTTGTACATTTTTTTGGAAGAAATTGACGAATGGAAGACGGAAACGGAAAATTTTAAAGGAATTATAATATTGAAAACATAGGTATATAACCGGCATATACTAAAAAAGTATCAAAATAACCTAAGAAAGTTTTTTTTTATATAAATACTGGGACTAGATGTAAACATAATTCTATAAATTTACAAATAACATGAAGTATGCATAAATATGGAATTAATATATTAGAATCCATAGATAAAAATAACAATGCTTATAAAAAAAGGACTTCAAAATGTTTAAATCGGATCGATTGGCTGAAAATAAATGTAAAAGCCATAATAAGAAAAAAAAAAGAATCAAAGAGTTTATACCCAGAGATGTCAAATCGAAACACAAACACTAAACAGAAATGTTTGTATGAAATAAAATTTAAATGATTGTTTGTATGTGAGCATTTTAAAAATTAAGTTTCAATGTATTTTGACTTTATATCTCTACGATTTTAATGTAATGTGAACTTGCCAGTTAATTATGACATTTGTATTAAAAACTTGTATCTCCGTCATACATTTTGTATGACATAACCTAACTTTATCATACATGTCATTTTAAATGTAAAAGTATGCATTAAAATATTTCTCACTACTATTTATCAATCGGGTAAAAACTATATTCAACGATTTTATTATAGAAAAATAACATTGGTACTGTTTTTTTATTTAGGTTAGTATTTCAATATTTATGTACTAGGACTTCTAAATAGGTAAATAAAACCGTATATAAGGCAATTGTGTTACATTAAACTGAATTTGTGATTTCATTTTAGTATGAGATTTAAAAAAATTAGCAATTTTCCATACAATATAAAAATTAAATGAGATTTCTTCGAAAGTTTGAGAAACGTCGTTTTTATGACAAAAAAATCCCATACTAAAATAAAATATTTGAAATCATACGGAACTTATTTACCATCAACATAAATTATCTACACGACTATTACACTAAATTGGGTGAACAGGAAACAAATACACTTCAACACATACAATCGAATCCTATACTAACAAACAATACTAACATTTATTTTATACTGTTTATAGAAATGCAATAGTTTATATATATGGATAAAGTTAATGTAATAGTTATATAATATATAGAACTATGTCCGGGGAAAATAGTGTCCAGTGCGAGCCGGCAGTGGCGGAGGAGTGTCCTGAAAAAAAACAATAATAAACATGTTATCAATACGTGGATTTCCACTGTCCAGTAATCTCAAGTAAAACTCCAAGTATACCAACTTATTGCTCTCATTCTTTCATTAAAACTGAGACAATTTGTATTTATACGAATCATCGCAGTGGAACTTCTCCTTAATAGAAATATAGGTTAATATAAAAAACAGATTATATAGTAATATTGACCATCATTCGGCGATAAATAAAACAGAATAGCAAAAACAAAAAAAATATACATATAACGGTTAAAAATAAAATAAAAAAAATCAAACCTCAAATAAAAATTCTCTAGCTTATGATTTTGTAGCAAGGCTAGGTGGTTTCTGAAATAAAAAATACATAACTACAAAACTACTATACGTGTAATCAAATATATTGGCGGCTAAAGGTCAAGTGAAATTAACAAGGACAATTTCAAAGGATCTTTAAGACGTGGTATGTATGATTTTTTTCGTATTTAAATGTAAAGTAAAGACCCTGTATAACGCGGGGCGGACAAAAACCGCGTTATAGAGTGTTTTAAAACATTGGTAATGTTATTGTTAATGAGAGGTTTTTTGAAATTGTTGTGAATGTTCGCGTTATAGAGGGATTCATTTAAGAAAATTCTGGGTATGTCTCGTTATAGAGAGTACTTGCAGCGTTATATGGGTGTACAGAAATAGCGTTATAAGGAGGTTTACGTATTAAGGTAAGAGATGTTATGTTACAATGTACCTGCACATTGTTGTCGTGTACGTAGTGTCGCGGCGGCTGCGGGCGCGGCATAGGACCATCACTATCTTCGTCCTCCTCGAAATCTGAAACAAATACAAAAAGCACATTAACACATTGACTGCCGTATACTGTCCAGTAAATTGAATACACAAGCCGAGGCCAAAAAAATAAAGCATTTAAAGCAAATTTATGCTTCAATTGTAAGGAAATATGTAATTTATTTTTTAACATAATTTGGTCTGAATTCAATAACACGAAAGGAAAGATGTTTAGTTCAGAATTTTCTATTTTTTTTTTGTTTTCTTCTTAGTTCGAAATATTTAAATTTAATTTTGGCTAAGTCTTAGTTTTTGAATTATTTTGCTTTTATTACCTACAAAAGTTTAATTTAAAAATATTGTATTATTTATATTTGAATCATTATATATCGCAACATATAACCATGCCATGCTAAAATAGAAACTGTTTTAATATCTAAAAAAAACTAAATGATTTTTGTATCAATGACAAATGAAAAAATGGCTAAAAAACAATAAACTATTAATAAAAACTTATATTTTAAAGATAATTTGTCCATTCTTTTTAGTATTTATAATCTGCGGCACCTCATAAACTATTGTATTTATAATGACAGATAACTAACCTCTTTGTTTCCTAGCGTCCAAACCTCCTTTCATATTGTCCTCGGTGTCGGAACCTTCTGCAAAACATTTAAATTATAAAATAAAGAAAATCGTATCGACCTTTCAAGGCACAAAAACTCATTTATATTTACATATTTTAAACTGAGCGATTGAGTTTAAATTGAATCATTTGGAAAAAAACTCCAAACATGCAACATAGACCGTTCACTTTAGTTTTTATTGTTAATCTTTAATTTGAAACACAAGGCGAAATAAAAAATAAAATTTTTCCATAAATATCAGCAACCAAATAATATTATAACCTTAACTCGGTGTCTCAATAATCACACTTGGTAGACTTCTAGATAAAACATCAAATTGAACTTTCAATAGTATTAAAATTGCTAAAGCAAACAGACTATCCAAACGTAAATCATGCTCAAAATGTGAATGTGTGTGAAACAAACAAAATATTAAACACCTATAGACTATCTGTAGACAGTAAATTGAAAAAAAAGCTAACCAGAGTTGAGTTCCCGCACTAGAGTAGACATGGCGTTGGTGACAGAATCCGCCGCGTACAGCAAATCACTGCGAAGGTTCCTGTTGTCTATGCCCACTGAAATATATGCAGATTATAAATTACTAACTGTCCGAATTTAAATCAAATAAAAAAAAACTATGTGTACATTATATTCTGTATATCTATGCTAAATTAATTCTGGAGACAAAAATCCATTTAAACTTATGCATTTATTAATATGAAGTAATTTCAAGAGGCTTTACTTTATGGGTAACTAATCTTTACCTGGACAAATATGTGTTTTAAATTTTAAAATAATCAAAACATTTTTACACAGTTTTTTTTCTGCTAAAAAAAATTGCTTACTTGTGGTAGGTCGTTGATTCTGATGGAAATTTCTACCATCGTTACTCATACTTTCCATTCCTCCTGTTAAAAACAAAAACATATTAATTTAGTTAACATACTTAAAAAAATACGATTTAAATATATTGTTGCTATACTGGTGTAAAGCACGAAAATTTACTTGAATAGAATTTGATTGATGAATTGAAAAATATTAATATCTAGAAAAGTACAAAAATATTTATATATAGTGTGTAATCTGATACAAATTATGTTGATGATATGCCGAATTCTCACAAATTTTCGTGCTAGACCCTCCGGTGTCCTCTTACCCAGACTATGCGACATATCAATCCTGTCCCGTTCACCGAGAGATGGCGTCTGCGGCGCGCTCCGTACGCGACCAGTTGGCTCCCTACACAAAATAACCTTTAAAATAAGATATTAGTGCAAACCCTCGTATTTCTTACTAATATTATAAATGTGAAAGTTTAGATGGATGGATGGATGGATATTTCTTAGAGTTTGTAGGCTCGGTTAAATGGATCTAGTCATCTAGTAAGTCTCTGATTTCATAATTTGGCATAAATGTAGATAATAGTCTGGAAGATCACATAGACTTATGTTTTTTTTTAATTCCACGCGGACAGAAGCCAGTATCTTGATATTTTAACACAGTAATTGCCTTTAGCATGTTTATGTTATTTCTTGTTGCAAACGAGGAAATAGTCCGCATCTATACCAAATTTTTGCGTTTATAATATTACTAGCTGTCACCCGCGACTATGTTCGCGGTGATTAAAAAAATACTAAGTAGTTCTATGTGTTATTTCATAGTACTACTATGCTAAATTGTATCTAGATCCATTTAGCAGTTTCGACTAAAAACTCTTACTAACATCCATCCAAACTTTCGCATTTAAAATAGTATTAAAATAATAAATTAATATAATTTGTTTACCGTTTCCTTGGATAATTTTAAGATACAACATTGAATAGTATTATAACCTGTCAGGAGCTGATGGCTGAGTTCCGGGCAGCGGCGGACTCTTCGTAGAGCGTGGAGACGAGTTCGGCGTCGACCGTGGTGACGATTGTTGAGTCTGTAAATAACATAAACAAAATATTATCAATATGCCCTTATCAGCACAATGTGCTTCTTCCATACATGTGTAAATCCACTCCCTTCTTAAGCATCTCTTTCATACAATCCATAATTTCTTCGATTTCCCTCTACCTTTGTGGCCCTCCACATTCAATCTTAACACTTTCTGGTATTTCACATGTCCATACCACGTAAAATTGACAAAATATAAATCAATTATAAACATAAGACATAAATAAATTGAATTAAAAAAGCCGAGATAAAATTCGTACTAACTTTTCATATTTTTTAAAAATTCAATTAGCAGTATTTTTAATAGATACAGTGATTCAAGAGGAAGGTCTACATGTATAGTAGAGCAATACGCATAATTTTAAAGATTTGACATGTGATGTAAATGACATTTTTACCGTGCGAAGACCGGGCGGGTTGCTAGTATATCAAGTGTTACCTTGAGCATCCTCATGAGACCTTCCAGCTGCTGCATCAGGTGTTTCCTGGACTCCTGCAGCGAGGACAGATGGCCCTCCAGCTCGTCTTTGCGCTGCCTCAGCGCCCGGAGCTCCGACACAAGCGGCGGCGCGCCCCCGCCCCCGCCGCCGCCGCCGCCCCCGCACGCGCTCGCCTCCGCCTCTTGCTGTCTGTTATATAAACAAACACTTTAAAATACCAACCTATTGGAAATTTATGTAAGGCAAATCAACAAAATTCTTCATTTTCTTTTATCGGATTTAACTAAATTACTTTACTTTTCGAAATTAGATTTTATTATAGTGGCTCGGAAATTTAATACTCTTACTATGTTTTTATTTTTTTTAAAACTATGTGACAAAAGATAACGACACAGTGCCGTGATAATTCACAAAATACCTATAAATATAATGTAAAAAAAATGTATCTAAAATTGAACAATAAGAGCCCCCGAGACTATAAACTATTACCAGCTGAAAGTTTGATCGGCTGTGACTGTCAAGGCGAAATGAAATATGTATTGGGAATTACTTTAGATTGGAATTACTAAATCTTACTAAAAAAAATAATCTTACCTAAGTCTGGCAATCTCTCTCATAATCTCCCTATTCTTGGCCTCCAACTGAGAGATAAGTTCCCGCTGCTGGCGCGCCGCGTCCACCTCAGACCCCTCCGACGATGAACGACCCTGAGTGAACGGATCTATTACTACTGAATGACTGAATGACATACAAGTGAATGAATGATAACTTACCAACTCCGGTGTTAGAGATGCCGACCTTCCAGCACGCGGCTTTGTTAACAAATATTTTATTTATTTAATACTTTTTGCACAAATCTATATATCTACTAATATAAAAAAGCATAAACACACACTATTTTGTGGCGTAAGATTTCAGCAATCACAGTATATTTTTTTGAATAATTCTTTCTTTAATAAAAAAACTCTACACTTACGTCACGCTTTAAGCTATATTTTCACGCTATTAAACTTAAAGGGTAAATAAATTATATAAAAACGCTAATGTGGGGAAGGCACCATAAGCTACAAGCTGCCAACATCAAGGAAGTAAGATTGCCACGGTTTGTCATCAAGTCATGTCATTTTTGTAGTATCTGTATTACATAAGTTGCTGTTTTATAATCTGTTTTTTTTTGCACATTGATTTTTTGCAATTAATTTTACAAATATAAACTCATGCGGATGAAGCCGCATGGGAACAACTATGCTAGTACTAGATTTGCGCAAGGACAGCCTTATTTAATTTTTTTTAACAAGTTCTATGTTTAATTTCGCATGAAAATTAACTCACCAGGTATAATAGCATTTTACGTGCTATTTAACCATAATATAGAAGGATAATTTGTATTTTCGTACGTAACAAAAAAAACTTATTTGTTCTTAATTCGAACAATTCTTTAAAGATTGCAAAGCTTCATACCGAGTCATATTATTACTAGACTTTTTAATTCCGAACGAAGTCGCGGGAAGAAACTAGTATATTAATACATACCATAGTCCTGTTCTCGTGTGCAAGCCTGGCTGCGTATCTCGCTATGAGACGATGCTCGTCGTCCACACCGCGAGATAAATGCTCCGCTATACCTGAAATATATACATTTATATATTAACTATAAACGCTCAAAAATCAGCCTTTAAAACGAACACCTTTAATACTGAATTTAACAAATCTATGTTCAAAATTAAAGGAAAAAACGAAAAGTCGCATGTATTGAAACACCACATGTTAGTTATATTTTATTTTGTGGCAATGTTTAGTTTATTTTATCACAAAAAAAACTAAAAAAAAATTATGAAAAAAAGAAAAAAAGACGAATTGAGTACCTCCTTCTTTTGGGAAGTCGATCAAAAAATGGTGCTCATTATATTTTATAAAATGTTATTACATGTCAATTCAAACACGAGGTAGCACTAAAATTGACAACTGATGTAGTACCTTTCAAAGAAGTTACCGGTAGAAAAATGTTCACTATGTCTAGTCTATATATTTATTTAATGTCTATGGAAAATGTACACAAATCAGTTAAACTATGATTGTTGACATCCTACATAACTATGAAGTGTCTCCTTTATCTATACTATTATAATAAAGCGTTAACACACACTTCTTTGTTGCCTAAGATGTCAGCAATTACAGCATATTTTTGAATAATTCTTTTATTAATAATAAGCCCTACACTTACGTCACGCTTTAGGCTATATATTTTCACGCCATTAAACTTAGGGGGTAAATATTTTGGATAAAAACTCTAATGTGGGAAAGAGACCATAAGTTGTTGTTAACATCAAGAAAGCAAGACTGTCAAGGTTTGCCATGTCATGTCACTTTGACATTTGCTATTGAGAATTTGACAAATGTAAATAATAAAATAAAATTTTCACAATTTCATGCGGATGAAGCCGCACGGGAACAGCTAGTTATATTAATATAGATACATACTGCGGTGTGTGGAGCGCGAGGAACGTGAGTCCAGCGAACCAGTGTTGACGTATCCAGCGCCAGTGGCCGCGCCAGTGCCAGCGCCAGCGCCGCCGTACTCCGGGAAGCCGTTGTGAGCCGGCACAGGGGACGGCGGACTGCACAATTATACACTTTTTTAAAAATTTAACTATAATAATGCCTTCTAAAATGTATTGAATGTTAACGTTTGTTAATGTTAACTTCTTTTGAGTGTTCCTGATGAAATTTACTGAGTTAATATGATCGAAATTTTAACCTTGAATTCTAGAAGTCAGTTACAAATTTAATTATATTAAGCTTTATATAG